CTGGTGAATCACAGTAGGTCTTTTTTTCCTTGTTCACGATATTTTTTCAAAATGGAATGAGAGTGATGGGAGCAACTCTTAATATGACTTGTTTGAAGCAATTCGGTGCTGATGAGAACTCCTGCAATACTTATTTCAGAACTTCTTAAAAAAAAAATAGGTCTCCTTTTTGTGTGTGTCCGTGGAAAATATAAGCACAATTAGACACTACATGATCTGCTTCCACTTACTCTGAGTTTAGTCCATGCTCTTTTCAGGCACAAACATATATCTTTTTTCTCATTCTTTATTTTGAGAAGTTGTAAAACTATTAAAAAATTGAATACATTAATATAACAGGTGTATTCTTATCACCCATAATTAATTGTTTCTATTACACTTGCATTGTCATTTTTATTTTTTTAAATGCAAAGAAAAATTATAGAGTTTGTTGCAAATAAAACTCTGCCACTTCTGCCCCATTCTTCTCTCCAAGATTAGGTCTTAGCAGAATAAATTTGCCAGCTCCCTCTTCTCTTTATTTTCAGCCTAGAAGTTAAAAAAACTCAGAAAACAGTTTTCACTTTCATCTGAAATTACAACCAATAGCCTAGTTCCTGAAGCGAGACCAAAAAGTATTGGGAAAACTTTCGTCAGTGAGACAGTCATCCATCACCTGTCATACCATTTCCTGCTCTGAAGCTCAAGGGTCGCTGAGCACAGAGGGGAACCCAGATCAGAGCAAGAGACTTCTCAGCCTGCAGGGGAGAGTTGTAAGCATGATATTTGTTAGCTTGCTGCGGGCAGTCCTGGTCTCCACCTGTCTGGGTAAGGAAGGTTTAGGTCTTTCTTTATAATGTTATCTAATGGGGCTGTGAAACGAGAGATGAATAGCAGAGTAAATGCATTGCCTCAGAGAGCCCAGTTGAAAGCTGATATGTTCTGCTGAGGTTTGGATCAGGCAGAAGAAAGGTGGGTGGGGATTGGAACCAGTTTGGGCTGGTCTGTCTGCTTTCTCGTGTGACACCCAGTGTGGTCCTTTCTCTCCTCTTTCCCACAGGATCCAGCGTGGCCCAGATGGTCACTCAGCCTCAACCAGAAGTGTCTGTGCAGGAGGCACAGACTGTGACCCTGGACTGTACGTATAGCACTAGTGACAGTGATTATTATTTGTTGTGGTACAAACAGCCTCCCAGCGGGGAGATGATTTTCATTATTGGCCAAGAAGCTTATAAGCAACAGAATGCAACAAACAGTCGCTACTCTGTGAACTTCCAGAAGGAAGCCAAATCCTTCAGTCTCAGGATCTCAGACTCCCAGCTGGAGGATGCGGCAATGTATTTCTGCGCTTACAGTGGTCCACAGTGAGACGAGCAGCAGAGAGAGGCTTACAGAAACCTCAAACCTCAGCATCTGTGCAGAGGTCGGGGGAAGTGGTTGGGGTAAGAGGAATATAGAAAGTCACTGACTTCTCCTTGGAATAAAAGCTCCTCCTATCTGAATATAAGAGACACAGAGAGATGAATGTCTATGACTTGTAGTCCTTAAATTAACAGTAAAAATGACACGTGTAGTGCTTTCCAGTTTTACAAGTTGTCTTCATACTTGCTATCATCTGTAACCCTCATAGCTTCATATGGTATGTGTGACAGGTCAGACTTCTGAAGCATTTCCTCTGTCCTGCAAATCTTTATAATATTCCTGGGAGCTCTTACCTCCAAAAATGTTAATCTTTTCCATTTTGTTCATGGGTGCTTGTTCTTTTAATTGCCCATCCATGTCCAAAACCAAATTTCCTCAGAAAAAGGTACCCATTTTAGAACACAACAGCTGTGACAGCATAACCAGGGAGGGAACCCACTGGTCCTACGATAGACTTAAGAGATAAGCTAGGTTGACGGTACCTAGCACAGGTGACCTAGAAGAATGATGGAATGGCCTGTTAAAGGCTCAGCTAAGAAACCAGCTCAGGGGCAACACCATTAGTGCTGGAATGCTATTCCAGGTTGGAATGCTAATCCAGGAAGAGATAATATTCATTAAATCAATGTCTGATGTATGGTGCTGTGGCACCCTAGCTAAAATACACACGTTTAGAAACCAAGAAATGGAAGCAGAACAGACTCTTCTCCTATCACTCCCTGTAACCCACCTTCAGAATTTGTGTTTGCCTTTTCTCATAGTCCTAGGCTCTGCTGGATTAGAGGTCCTGGTTCCCTGAGGAAGAATGCTTCCACCAGTGGATTCAGTAAGGGCCCCACTGAACCTGCAGCTATGACCGCCACCTAGATCACTAGGTGACCTAGTTGAACTCCTTGTGCCACTGGTCCAGCAGACAAAGATAGGATTTATTAGATGGGGGCATAATTGACCCAATTATCATGGAGTACCAGATTGTTATTACACAGTGAGAGCAAGAAGAAATATGTTTGGAATGTAAGCGTTTCCATGGGGTATTTCCCTGCCCAGTAAAAAGAGCAAGTGGCAACTGTGGCAACAAGGCCTAAAAAGGACAAAGTGACAAAGAATTGAGACCTCTCAGCAATGAGGGTCTGGGTCACCCCACCAGGCAAGAATCTAAGTTCGCCAAAGTGGTATCCAATATAAGGAAGTCTGGAGGGTACAGTGGAGGAGGGAAAAGTTGAGTATCAGTTATAGACTTGGTACCAATTAAAGGAGTGGGGCCTGAAGCTCAGGTTATGCAACCTCCTGTATTAAGTGTTTTAGATGGATTGTAGCCAGCCACAATGTTGAAGACTCAGAGACACAGTGAAAATAACCTAAGACAAGCACGCATCTGAGTAGTGCAAAGAGAGCCCTATAACAAATATCTCATGTGCCTGTTGTCACGTCCAAATGCCTAGGGTTGAATTTATCAATAGCTGTGATAGACAATTCTTAGACGCTCAGACTCGTCTCAAGCTGATAACATCCAACATTAAGCATGCACTGTGCATTATTTTTACCTCCTACCCCAGGGCTTTCTCTGACTCCTTGGGAGCTCATTCAGCCCATGGGCAAGCACAGCCTGAAAGTATAGGGGAATTACCATCCCTGCCAGCAAGCACCAACCAGAGGGGAAAGGGACAGATGAATACACTAGCTTCTTGCTTCCCAGCAGATAATCCCAAGAAGCATCCTGTATGCTTCTCGGAGATCCTGGAAGAATCAAGCCCTAATCCTGTGCTATCTACCTCCTCATTTCTGCTTCTTAAGATCATATCCTAAATAAACTATCTTCACCTGAGTCCTTGCTTTAGGCTCCATTTTGGGGGGGGGGGGAATTTAATAGAGAAAATTTCTTTGAAATTTTAATAGAGAATTCTTTGAAAATTTAATAGAGAAAGCACAGAAGAAAGTTTAAGGTGAACTTACTGGGCTGATTGCTAATAAGAGCATGTGGGTACTTGAGTGATTACATAATTGGAAAAATAGAAGCTGTCACCTTATTTTTTCAAAAGATGGTGAAACAGACCATATTTACAAAACTCCAGTCTCTGCAGACGTGTGATCATGTCCTTACTTACCAAGTCTCAACTTTTCTCATTATCCCTGTCCCTGTATCTGCTCACCCTCTATTATTTAAACCTCATTCCTACTTCTTCTCAAAATATACCTCTATTCCAGTCCATCTACTCTCCTTACTGACCAATAAGCACTTCAAACTCTTGAATTTTTTTTCTGGTTGTTCCGCTCACCCAAATTTCCCTTTTATGTGTGTATCAGTCTGGTCAAATCATATTAGTCCCATAAGCACACCTTAAAGCTCTATCTCCTCCAAAGTTTCTTCTCTAATGGTGAATCCTTGAATTCCTTCTCTCCTGAAGTCACACTGTGCTGAACCTGAAAGATTGATTCATACTGACTTTACCTTTTTAAAGCATTTGCTATTGTTTCCAGGCCCTGATCTTTCCTCTCCCAAATATATTATGGTGTCTATGAGGACAGAACTTTGCCTCGTACAGGTATACGGCATTCTTCAATGCTCTTGGCAATATTGGGCACATAATAAGTGCTCAATAGAGCCCGAAGATTATGCTTAAAATTTATTTTGTAAACATCATATATTCATAAGAGAATATTAAGGGGAAAATCAGTATGTTCTAACACAGTCACAGAAGGTTTCTTTGGAGAAGTTATGATAAAAGGTAGGATTTTTAAAAGCAGCAATGAAGGGAAAAATAGGGTATGTTTTAAATATCAAGGTCTCTTCATTGAATATAAACAGAAATCTGAAACTCATATAAACAGATTCCTTACAGAACAGATTTCTTTAAACCAAGTTCTTCCTGGGTAGAGGAGTGAATCATAGGAATTGCCTCAGTAATTATTTCTGTGACCTGAAGAGGGCACTTCTTGCACAGGTGACAACAGTTACTTAACTGCCCACCTGACATACCAGTTCCTGTTCTGAAGCAGTGATGTCACCCAGTACAGCTAATACCCAAGGTTCAGATAAGAACAAGAGGCTTTTGTCACCCTGCAGGAGAGAGCTGCCAGCACAGCAGGCCCCGGTTTGCTGTGGGCAGTCGTGGTCTTACCTATCTTGGTAAGGAAGGCACATGTTTTGCTTTTACTAACATCCAATAGGACTGGGAAGTAGGAAGAAAGATTAATAACACAGGGATCTTACCTCCTCATGGGTCCCAGCTTCTGGAGGCAAGAAAGCTGATGGATTTTATCTGAAGTTTGGATCAAGCAGAAGAAAGGTGGGTGGAGATGGGAACCAGTTTGGGCTGGTCTGCCTGCTCTCTTTCCC